ATTTGCAGATGACACTAATATGTTTTGTTCCGGTGACAATTTGAAAGAGCTAATGGAAGTGATAACAGCAGAAATGATTAAAGTAAAACATTGGTTTGACACAAACAAATTATCATTAAATATAAGCAAAACAAAGATTATGTTATTTGGAAAACATAAAACAAATCCACAGATACAATTAATACTAGATAGCACATAGAAAGAGTATATGAAATGAAGTTCCTTGGTGTGGTTTTAGAGCACAACATCAGCTGGAAACCTCATATCACTCATGTAAAAGCAAAACTGGCTAAAACTATCGCAATATTGGGAAAAGCCAGATACATTCTGGACCACAACTCATTGCATACTCTATATAACACACTCATATTGCCATATCTGATTGACTGTGTGGAGATTTGGGGAAACACGTACAAAACCAACCTACAGCCGTTATGCACATTACAAAAAAGGGCTATAAGAGTTATCAATAATGTTGGATATCTTGAACACACTAATGTATTATTTTTGAAGTCACACATGAAGTTCATTGATCTGGTTACATTTAAAACGGCACAAATCATGTACAGAGCCAGACATAATCTACTTCCTAGGAAATTAAAAACATTGTTCGTAGACAGAGAGGGTGGGTATAATTTGAGAGGAAATCTACATTTTAAACAACTCAAGGTCAGGACAACTCTGAGAAGTATGAGTTTAACAATCTGTGGGGTGATTTTATGGAATGGTTTGGAGCAGGAGTTAAAACATAGCACAAGCATAATTCAGTTTAAAAGGATGTACAGAAACACTTTTTGGGAAAACTATGAGAATGAAGAAAGGTGATTGAAGATGAGAAATTATTGTATATGTATACATGTAAATGTATGTAGTAATAACTTGCATAATGATTTAAAGGACAATCATTGATCAAGTAAGGGGTGGGAATTAATAAGCATTTGCTTCCTCCTTTCGGACACATATGATTTATTATTAATATGAAGACTTTTTTAGTTTTTTTGTTGAATATACAAATATTACCATGAATGTGGATAAATACTGTATTATAACAATACGGTATTCTGTTTTTCACATTTGTAATTTTTTATTTGTTATTTTTTAATCTGTTCGAAATAAAGACTTAAAATGAAAAAAAAATGAATGAAAATGTCACATTTAGTTTTATGACATTTTTCAACTGCAGTACAGTGTATGCAAATCAGGAAATGTGTATATAGAGAATTAATGATTGTAACTGTATGATGGTCTGTAGGGCATTATACTGAAACACATTGCTTACCTCAAGACTTGAGACAAATCCCTCTTTTCTCTCTTCTGACGTTTATTTGGCCTCTCAGTCAGACTCTTTCTTTTTTTTACGTTTCCTTGTACCTAGGCCTTCTCTCATACCATTTGGACATGTTATATATTGTATAATCTGCACCTGAAGCACTATGGTATAGCAAACTATACCATAGTGCTTCAGGTGTAGGGCGGTGGTGGTGAAGTCGATAGGGGCTTGGCTTGGCAATTGGAAGGTCATTAGTTCAAGTCCCGGCAGACCAAGTGCTACCGAGGTGTCCCTGAGCAAGGCACCGTTCCCCACACTGCTCCCCGGGCGCCGTTCAAAATGGCAGCACACTGCTCCTAACACTCGGATGGGTCAAATGCAGAGAAACAATTTCCCCACGAGGGATTAATAAAAGTCCATCTTATCTTAAAACAAAAGCTGGTCAATGTTATGTGTAATCTATTTAAAGACACATTTATAGACATAGGCCCACACACACACTCATCTGCAGATGATACAATCCTTTTTAAAATGATCTGTAATTGGCTGATGTTTGAAATAAAGCTGGGTTTCTTGTGGCTTCAGTGATAGTACAGAATACATTTAGCTGTGTTTAGTGTTTGATGTCCGGAAAACACTCAGAAACAATCCAGTGGGTACAGTCACAAACAAATACATATATGATTGTAAAGATATACGTTTGATTAGGAGTCATAGTACAGCATACTTGCTTCGTTTCTGAAGGAAGTGACTTGGAAGTACGCGACTACCAAGCCAGCATCCTCGCGATTGAGAAACACCCTAGAGGCTTCTCAATACTCAAATTTCCCCTCCTCGACTCCCCTCCTCGGTTCCCCTCCTCGAGACTTAGACCCGCCCACAGGAGATGCGAGCGGAGGACCGAGGAGGGGAACCGAGGAGAGAGGAGGGGAAGCAGCAGACGTTTAAAGAAATGAGAACTCGGTTGCGTTCTGATAATCCAAAAATCAGCTCCTAAATTCTAACCCTATCTCCTATTCCTTGACCTCTGAGTGAAACGTCACGAGGTTAAGGGATAGTGGATAGGAGAATTCAAAAGGATTTAGGAGAAGAGACTGCGGTGCTTAGAGAATCCGAATGCACTTTCACTATCCGACGTGTTTATGATGCGCCAGCGGACGTGCTCTGCTTTCTGTATGGACCTCACAGCTGTTCTCTCTGGAAACATCGCGACGCGATGAGAGCAGTTTCTAAAATAATATCCAGGGGATGCATGCAGAGCTGTCATTGGCTGAGATAAGTCCGGCCGTGCGTCACGCCTCCACCGTTCCCGGAAATGCATCCGCGGAGGAGCCGTGGAGGAACAATCAGTGTATCCTCGGTTAGAGCTCCTCCAGAGAGCCTCCTCGACGCTCGATCCTCGGTCCTCGGTGTGCATTTAGAGAAATGAGATGTCCTTCAAAATGGCGCGCTGAAATTCATTTCCGGGTCACTACCGGAGGACCGAGGACCGAGGAGTCGAAGAGGGGAAATTTGAGTATTGAGAAGCCTCTCCTGTTGACACGGACAACGTCAGCGAAATAGTGCCCACTGCCCACCAGCCACGCCCCGACACATGGGGTCACGCCGGCCAATCACAAAGCTTTGATGCGTTCAAGTGCATTATTCTGACACAGGAAGATTATGTTATAGGACATTAACGATAAAACAGAATGTTGTTGTTCTATTTTTAGACACATCTAGCGATCGACTGGGAATCAACCGGTTGGGCTCCCCTGGCTCTGTGTTGTACAGCCAGCTTTTGGTTTTGTTTATGTGGTAAACAGTTTTACCGGTTATCAATTGTTTGGATGGGTGTGACTGAGTAGCTTTGTTTAAAAATAGGGTGCACCTTTTTTCTGTTCAACCATTCATCGCATTAGTTTTCTTGCATAACGATAATAGCCAGGTTGATACTGGTGTGTGTGTCCTGGTAAGAAGAGTAAATATGTGCCCTCGTCTCTCACCATCCAGCAGGTTGCCGAAGTGTAAGACGGTCGACCTGCAGGAACTCTCTCTCTCATGAAGCCCTTCAGCGGGCTGGCCTAGCCTTCTGGGCTTGTCAGACTTACTATCTCATTATATTGACTTAATATCTCATTATATTGATAGTTATCTCATTATATTGACTTAATATCTCATTATATTGACTTAATATCTAATTATATTGATAGTTATCTCATTATATTGACTTAATATCTCATTATATTGACTTAATATCTAATTATATTGATAGTTATCTCATTATATTGACTTAATATCTCATTATATTGACTTAATATCTCAAATCAGGCCTCCTTCAGTAGACACACATTTAGGTGGCGCAGCATATGTTTCGGAGAGATGTGGGATAGGCTTGACGTGTTATTGAGCTCATCCTTGTCTTCTAAGAAGGTAACAATAAAAACGGTGCCTACGTCCAGTGGAGCCACGAGGGGTAGAGCGCTGGTTGATCTGACCCCCTAAAACATGCAGACCTAAAGGAGATAAGCATAAAGATACACTATGGTCCACTCGGATAGTTTGCCATCTCCGTTCTCCACGAAATATCTTCAAAAAATGAGCTGATGTAGTTTAGCCAATTGTTTGCAAGTGTTTTGATCGAACAGGAACATTTGCACTGTTGTAGATATTTGATAGTGTGTGTGTGACGTATGCAAGAGGAAACAGGCCATCTTCAATAGCCATAATGTCCATTATCGCCAACCTCATTAAACTTCGTGGAGTCCTCCCTCTAAAAAGAAATTGCACCATATATTTGATTTCACATTTAGTTTTATGGATAATCATGGATAACCACAATTATATACGTATACGTATATTATGAGCCTATTCCTGCTACTGCAGTATTCTTGACCTTTTTAAAGAACATTTTAATCAACCAGAATTGTGTATATTGTTTATATTTATATTTGTTTATACTATGTTTCATTTTCATTTCATTTTAAATTGTTATCTCTTTTCCACTCTTAAGTATTTGTATTTTAATGTTGAGCACACTTGTCTTTTAACAAAATATTTTCCCAATTTGGGATTAATAAAGTATATCTAGCTAAATAACTGACAAACTAACTAACTGACTAACTAACTAACTAACTGACAAACTAACTAACTAACTGATAAATTAACTGACTAACTAACTGACTGACTGACTGACAAAATAAATAACAATCTGACTTTCTGATTTACTGACTAACTGACAAACTAGTCAACTTAGTAACCAACTAACTAACTTACAAACCAACTAACTAACTAACTGATCAATTAACTGACTAACTCACTTACTGATTGACTTATTCTCTAACAAGTTGACTACTATCACTAACTTATTACCTAACTCACTTAAAAACTACAAACTAACCAACTAATCAAATAACTAACTTACTAACTAACCAACAAACTAAGTGACTAAACCAACCAAAAAAAGACATGTCTGATGTTAGTTGATGCAGCAGAAGATAGAAACTGAAAACCAAAATGCTCAATGTGAGGTCAGGGGAAATGTTTAATACATGTTTTTATAAACACTTTCCGCTCATGTTATGTTAATAGAAAGCTCTTTGATAATTTAATAAAAATAATAATTCATGGTATTAATTACAGCATTTTTCCAAGTGCTCAAAGCACTTTACACGACATATAATAGACATGTAATACATCAATACTGTGGACAATACCCCGCAGGAGCTTGTAGGGTGAAGTGCCTTGCTCAAGGACACAACAACATGTTGATTGAACCTGTGATCATCACACTAAACCACAGTCGCCCCTAATAATAATAATAATGATAATAATTATAATAACATGATTAACGTCTCTCTTCACACACTTCAATCCAACGTCACTCGTCCCTGAGGCTTAAATCGTCTGTGTGTAAGAATATTCAGAGGAAACTTTGACACAGCAGTGAAATCCAAAAAACTAAGAGTATGAAAAAAAAATACTTCTGTCAGTCGCAGTTAAACCATAGCTGTTTCTTTGTTGTTGCATATGTTTACAGTGGGAAGCAGGTTGGTCCGCTGCTGGTTCCTCAGGATGGCTTTCTCCATCCTCCTACACACACGCACACACACGCACACACACACACACACACACACACACACACACACACACACACACACACACACACACACACACACACACGTTAGTCATGCAAGGATTCTCTTTAAATCTTCAAAATCTCTAGAACCACAACAAAAATACTTATAAAAACTGCCTCAAAGTTGTTACTTTAGAAATTGTGTGCATGCTGGTGGCTATTTTTGTTAAACCTCATAAATTCCTTTACAATTATTTGTATTTTTCTGCACTTAACAAGCACGACACAACTTGGGAATCAGTGAGTTGTAAGAAGAACATTAGCATTAAAGTAAATGCATTCTATTTATATTTCATTCATCTGAATATATATTTTTACTTATTTTCTTTGCTTTCGTCTTCTCTCTTACTTTTTCTTTCATCCACCTTTGTCTTTAACCCATGACCTACGGTACTTTAAAGGTCCCATGTCATGCTTTTCTGGTTATTCCCCGTCCCCTTGTGTGTTATGTAGCTTTTTCTGCATGTAAACGGTCTGCAGAGTCACAAACCCTCAAAGTACATCCTGTAGCGAGTACAACTCTAACACAGAAAATACCTGTCTATGCTGCCCCAGAACGCCTCGTTGGAGATTTCTCTTTTTCCATTTTTTTCTCCCGGGAACCAAGTGACGTAACGACGCCCCTCCGTGGATTGGTCAAAATTGACCAATCCGTGGAGCCGTTCCTCACACACACACTCAATCTTTTCTCAGCTGCAGCTCCGCCGATTTCTCCTCCCTGAGACGGCGGGACGCGGCAAGGCTGTGAGTCGGTGTGTGAGCACACACACAAACTCCCAGCCAGGCTGCGGGTGTGTGTGTTCAGGCTGGGTTTCGCTGTGTCTCGCTGTCTCGCAGACGGCCACTTGGCTCACAGGGAGGGGGGGGGCAGGAGCTCCAACAAGCCGTTTAGGACAGAGAGTGAATACACATACTACACAGAGATGCTGTATGAGAAACCAATGTGAGTTTGGAATATAAATCTATTTTAGTAGACCTCAACAATGGAATTATGATCAGTAGAAATGGCCATGACATGGGACCTTTACATGCATTGTATTTTGTCCGGCAATAGAAGTGTCCTTCAGAAACGTATTAACAGTTCAATAATTCCAGCCTGCATCACATCACATTGCATTTCTTCCCAGATACTAACCTCAGTAACAAAGGACTGTCTCCCCTCGTAGTCGTACTCCCAGCCGTCCTTGCAGGCAGCCGTTGTTGGGATTCTGCTGAGGGCCAGCTCCCCTGAATCACAGCTGAGAGCCGTGGAGTTCCAGTCCACCTCGTACCGCTCACAGCTGCTCTCAGATCTGTTCCCCTGAGACACCGTCAGCCTGCGAGCCTCCGTCAGGCTCCATCCACACGTCTGCCTCCTCTCCACCACCGCGGGGTCTCTGCACCAGTGATCCGGGGTGAATCCCTGGAAGACGATGCCCACGTAGACCCCGGCCCAGGGCATGGACACCAAGCAAAACAGGGCGAAGATCCGCTTCTGACAGCGGCCAAACGTCCCCACTTCCTCCAAGATGTCGTCAAAAGTGGTCATGGTTAAAGAAAGCTCTTTAAAAACAGCTCACAAATAATTGAAAAGACAGTGTGTGCAGCCTTGATAGTGAGCTCTGAGCATCTCTCTACTGAGGTACCGCTGACATGTCTCTGCTTTGGGTTTTTAAACAGGACAAGAAGGAGCAAAGGTCCTCAGAAAGACGTTGTTGCTTACGGTGAAAAAGGTGGAACATTAAAACGATCAGCTTTCTCAGACGTCAGAACAAGTGTGTCATTTTAATGTGTAACACAGGAGTCAGAAACATACAGTAAATGCATCACAAGGGCCTCCCTGGACCGCTGGGCTTTGCGTCTCGTGTGCAGCAAGTTAGTGATGCTGTTAATCAGTGAACATTTAAAGATGTGTCTGTTGGGGAAGAGGATCGAGTTCATGTCACTGTGCACTTAGTGGGGGGGGGGGTCTGAGGAAAGGCTACTTGTTTTACATGTTTTCTGTGGACGTCAGAGTTGTCTTTGAGTCGCTTGAGCCTTGGACGTTAAGAAGTTAATATATTGGACAACGTTCATGTCATTCAAACACATCTAATAGTCTAGCAGCAAGTCCTCAAAGCAGGCTTTAGTTTTTGAGATTTGACTTGAACTCATCTTGATAAGACTTGATCTGGACATGTTGAATGAAACTAAATTGGACATGTATTGACATGTTTTAACTTATTTTTGACTTCATTTTGACTCTTCTTAAACAACTTGAGACTTGACTTGCACATGGTTTAAATATCTTTAAGCTTGACTTATAGTCTAGCAGGAAGGGCCCTCAGATTTCGAGATACCCCTACCCGAGGTAGAACAAAACACAACAATGATTTTTCTTATCTTTAGGGTCTGCCATTAATGACATTGATTGTTGTCAAATGTTATTTTGGGGGAAAAAATGTTTTTTTGGTTGTTCTTTTTAAGGTTGAAACATTTAACCCTTTTTCTCAACAATGAACTCAAAATGAACACATTTCAATTATAGTTAGATTAAGAGGTAAAAATACATTATTAAAATTGATTTCAAAGTTCTAGTCCACCATTTAGGGCCGTTGAAAATCAACAAATAAAACATTTTATATGTACCATTGATGCCTGAGCTGGCCAAATCAATGTGTGTTTACTACCTGTTGTTCTCAAATACATAACAGAAAATTAGCAAATAGAGCGTTCATTTTTCAAAAGTGTTGACGTCTAAATGTCCTCCAATTCTGGAATGACCCTTATAGCTTAGAAAAAACACTTTTGCCTAGACGAACAGAAAATGTGACGCAGTTTAATGACTCTTCAATTTAGTTTTTCAAATGTGGAAACGAAAGATAAGGCATGTTTACCCCCACCCCTCTGACATTTGTTTTACCTAATCCTGTTTCATTTAAAGCTGCGATCTCAATAACATCCCATCTTTCACAGCAAAACAGACGCTACACATCACTGACTTTATACCAGAGCATCAAGAGCAAAAACCATCCAAACATTTACAGAACTACAAAGCTGAGGAAACAGCTGAATGATGAGGTGAGTAGCTGATTCTGGATTTCATCATAAAAGTACATTAAAAATTACTTTGTATTACTTTGTTATTTTGTATTAGTGCTACTCAGAGTCAAACACTGGTGTCCAGACTGGAGGCCCTGCAGTGCCACTTCACCTGGGACCTTGACCTCAGCAGGTCCTTACTTTTACGTTGTCGGGACAACTTGTTAAACATTGGCACCAATGATGGAAACCCCTGGCTGGGTCACATCTACAACCTGCGAGGGTTCATTCAGTACAAGCTGGGATCCAATAAAGACGCCCAGAAGTTCTTCAACAAGGCTACAGAGGCCTTCAGCCAGATCAAAAACACAGACGAGGGCCCCTGGTTAGTGGTGAACTACGGGGACCTGGCTTGGCTGCACCACCACCTGGGAGACCAAGCAGAGAGCGAGGCCAACCTGTCAAAGGTCGACACCCTGAATAAAAAAGACCCATTTCCATCCCAGGAGGAGCTCCACCCGGAGACCTACGCTGAGAAAGCCTATACGCTGATGACGGTCAGTGGAGACAAAACACTTGCTGTAGATTACTTCCAGAGAGCCATCGAGATGCAGCCAGGCATACGAGAGTGGAACACTTGCCATGCCTTAGCTTTAATGCATGCTTCTAAGCACAGCAGGACAGGGCTGGAAGATGACATCGTGGAGAAAATGAGAATTGCCCAAGAACAGGATCCAGAGAACTTGTACCTCGCTGCTCACTACCTTGATCAACGTGCTCAGAGAGGAGAAAGAATAGACGTGAGTTAGCCACAAAGGTTTTGAGAAGTCCTGTCAGCAGCTACAGTGGTTTAAAACCATTGCTATGGGTTTACAGGAAGTATATATCTGGTGATGAGGCCATTGCTTTGGCAGAGGAGGCTCTGAAGAACCATCCAGATGAGCGTTATCTGAAGAGATGTGTTGCACTCTGCTACAAATGGAAGATCATTTTTTCCAGGGAAAGTCACCCAAATAAAAGCTTGATAGACAAAGCAATCCTTCTCCTTGAGGAGTTGATTGCTCTTTACCCTGATTCCTCACGTGTGATGAAAATAGAAATTGCAGATGTATATGCACTGTCACATGGTAGTCAGGCTAAAGCTGATCAGAAATATCAGGAACTGTTAGAAAGTGATTTGGAACTTGCAGACAAACAAATGCTTTACCACAAGTATGCAAATCATTTATATTACCGTAAAAAGGATGGCAACATGTCGACACGATATCACATGAAGGCGGCAGCGATACCGCACCAATCCTTCTTTCGTGAGAAAAGCATCAAAGTTCTGGAGAAGAGAGGCAGGGACAGACTGTCTGGGCGAATAATATATTTTCTGGCAAACCTGCAAGAGCCATAGTGTTCTAAACAGCAATGGTTTGAAATCCAAGAAGAAGATATAGCATTAGTACAAAAATAATCTGTACATCTTCATACATTTGATTGGCTGCAAATAAGAAAAAAAACGTTTTTCTTCTATTGGTCGGGTAAGACACAAGGCAGCAACAGCCATACTCTGAAAATGTAACATACATTTTCTATATTGGTTTAGACTTTCGTTGTTAAACAGACCTACATGTGTTATATTTTGAACTTTCTTATTTGCAGGCAGGTTACTAGCTTTACACTTTAGTAGCAGACAAGCGCTATTTAAAATACAAATTAGTTGAGCACTGTTTTTATGCTGTGTCTTAGTTATTAAATACAAAAACGATGTAATATACATTATGTTTGCAAAAAATGTCGTATAAATGGTATATCCATATATAATTTAACCATGATATTACATCTGACCAGTCACCATCGCTACAAGGGAACATGTTGGTTTTCCATAGATGGATCATTCACTGAAAAGAGTTAGGCTGTCAATCATAAACCCATTTAGGATAGGCTACAGCGAATGCATTCAAATATATTGTTCTCGGGAACTTGATTTCTTGAAAAACTGACCTCCCTAATCATAGCCGTGGGAACATGTTTCAAATGGGGGGTGCTGTGGGGATGACACCAGGGGCCAGTTCTGACCAATTTGCTGCCCGAGGCAAGATTTTAGCTGGTAATGACATGGTGGACAGCTTACATAAAAAGGCTTCAAATGTATTTAGTATTGTATGAACATGTTTTAATTGGGGGGTGGACGTCACATCCTCTAGGGGGGTCCGGGGGTGCCTCCTGGGAAGATTTTTTTCAACATTTCAAAGTAAAATGCTTCAATCTATTAATCAAATAAGAATGAGAACATTTCCAATAACAAATAAATGTAGGCTAACTTATTTTATCTTTGTGGTTCATTTATATCTTATTTTACCTAGTTAACATTTATTTATGCATATTTTGTAATCTCTCCAGTTGTAAACGATAGATGTGGTTTACTGTCCTATAGTATACATTGGAATGATTTCAAACCTGTTTTTATTTATCCTAATAATCATAAAGGTGTGCCTTGGAAATATTTGTTTACATAAATTGTGACCAAACCGTTTAAAACTGATCTGGGACCACAGATGGAAATGAGCTATTAGCTATAATCTGGCATATTGCATCTCTTCTCTTTGCTGAGATGAATTTGTGTATGCATGGTCCTTATATAAATAAATACAAACAAACCCTTAAAAGATAACTTAGACTAAAGTTAACGAAAATTCGTTTTTTGTGTATTATATTTGTATATGATGATATATATGATGAATTGGAAATGGGGGACCCTGATGTAAACAAGACGAAAGTCTTTCTCTGGTCTGCATCCCCTTAACAATTGTATGTTTTGAGCTGTACTGTACTGTACCCAATATACAAGCTGTTAATAAACTTTCCAATCAATCAATTTAATCTTGTGGAAGTGCAGATTGATGGTCCTCCACCACACCAGGGGGTGCTGCAGCACCCTCAGCACCCCTACTTCCCACGGCCCTGTCCCTAATGCATCCAAGAGGAATGTTTCACTTTGACAGAACCATAAACAAACACAACACAGATTCTCTGCCTGTTAAAAAAAAAAAAGAAAGCTAGAAACGTGAAGCAGAGGAAGAATGATGTCACACATCCTCTGCTTGAAGGAGTTGGTCTAGGAACTTGTCCACGTGCAAGTTCAAAGTCTATAACAAAATAAAAGAGGTTCTAATATAAGAAACTATTTGTATATATATATATAGGCCTACACAACATCATCTAGTAGGGTTTGGTCTATAAACGCTACCTGGAATTTGTTTAAGGGCCAAACCAAACTAAAAGTGGAAAACAACCGGGATTTATTACAAAGGCTTGGATTTTTTTTCAGTTCAACCAAATGAATTTACAATGGTAATTCTATGGGCTAAACTCCAGCAGCGCATTGCCAGAGCGCTCGAAACATGGAGGGCAGGGCCGTGTCCCTTCTCAGACCTTGGGAATAGATGCAGTCATCTGAATGAACAGGCAGAGGGAAAGGATGACACCCTGTGGCGAGCATGTACAATGTTTCTAATAAACTGCTATTTCCTAGGACTCTGTTGTCTGTTTGTTAAAAAATCTTCATACATGGAATAAGACCTTGGTCTAGATTGAACTGGGTGTCAATTGGTAGGAATGTTGAATGCAGAAACAAAGCAGAATCCTGGCTCTTCTCAATAAAGGTTAATTCCATCTTGTTTCCATCATTGTATTACAACTATAATTTAAATAGATAGACTAGGACATACTGTACTAGTCCCAGAGCTGGATCGTAAGAAAGTACAGTAAGTACTCTGGAGTCGGTGTACTTATTGAAAACAAGCTACAAAATGTAATAACTTGAAAATGCCGTTTAATACTTTTTAATAGCCTTCATTTTCACTAAATTGATTTATCAACTTTTAATACTTTTTTAAGACCCCGCGGACACCCTGATAAAGAATGCACAAATGTGTTTAATCGTTAATGTCAGATATGTACTAAGTACATACATTTGTTCCTGCTCAAGATAAGATTCAACTGTATTGTTATTGCACAGATTACTACTGAGACAACGAAATGCAGTTAGCTTCTAACCAGGAGTGCAAAAAGCAGTGAGTGAAAAGTAATGTACACAATTTACAGCATAACATATAGAATGAATTGAATGATGAATAAACAGTGAGGGGTATGAATATACAGTAGCCATATGAACAGTATGAACAGTATTAACAGTGTGTATGAATATGCTAAGATAGGCCTATAAAGTATGAAAACGGTAAGCAGTGCAAGTATGGTATAACATAGATGTTAATTTCATGATGATAAACATTGTGGAACAATGATGAACAATGTGAATGGAAGTGTCGACGTAACACTGACACAAAACAACAACAAACATTTGCGGAGCCAATTGGAGAGTTTCATCAGCAGCACGGGGTAAAAACCACCAATGAGCGCTCAGCTCGAGATATCAGCGAGTCGTTTAGAGTTGGGGGTGCGGCGTTACAAAAGCTGTAACAAAAAAAGCAGACGTTTGAATTTCTGTGACGTTGGCAAACATTCTAAACTGCAAAAAAGGAGGAAGAGAAGAGTCAATAAATCAACAAATTAAATAAATTAATAAGCATATACATACATAAATGAAAAAAACGGAAACATTTATAAAAATGTGTCAAAATAAATAAATAATAATAATCCCAGTTTTTCAAAACACGTTAATAATAATTGTGTCTTGAAGGGTCGTACCGGAAGTGAGTTGAATATCCACCTGTTTACCTGTTGGGAGGTTAAAACATAAATGTTTGTGTCCTCATTTCACTTTAAGGGATTAACACTAGGTTGAATTAAAACTATATTTTCATGGAGTTTTTTTTATCGCAATAAAATAGGTTTTAACCATAGACTGTATAGGTTTTAACGGATAAACTACTAACGGTTCACTTCACTCAACGGTCACAACGGCAACTCAGCTGGGACACGCAAGGTAACTATTTTTTTACGCGAACCTTAAATAATATAAGCTGCTTTTCATCAAATTTCACTAATTCTTCTTTACCCGAAGTGATAAATAACGTGTTTGTTATATATTTATGTGAATGTGTCATTTCAAAGATGAAGGGTTAGGCTACTCATTTTAAGCTAGTTTGTTTTTCAAATGACAGGACAGTTTTGAAATACTCCGTTTGAATTATTTTACAACAGTCATAGTTTTTGACATTTTACTTTTAATTGATAATTAAAACAAATACTTTCAAATAAAAGCATGTTTAGTAAGTGTTTACCCAAAAGCCAATTAAAAAACCCAGCAGGTCACTCACATATGACTTAAACTAGCTACCTTTTGTTAGCTAAGTCACTAGTTTACCACAGCGTTGAAGACATTTCTTGATGTTACAATAACGCCTGTCTTATTCCTAAATTTAAATATAACAATATTTTGTGGTTTTATTAAAACAATAACCTTTTTAACCCGTTTTGTCGCTGCCTATTTGTTCCTTTGCATTATGCTAATGTTACACCTTGACAAAGCTAGCTGCACCTCACTTCCACTCAGATATGTAACTGATATTTCTGGCGGGAATATTAGTTTGGTTTGAATAATTATGCCTATATAAAAAAAAAGTGGAAAACCATTCTAGATCAATTTGGTTTGTCCCATGTATTAGATTAATTCTGAAAATGAAAACACATAGTATCATTGCTCTGTGGCATTTGAATGTTTTTAACAACTTGTAATATTTGCAGATGGTGACATTCAGATGAATACAATCTTGGAATGAATTTAGGAAATTAAGGAATTAAGGAAAAAGTCCATGACTGAACACTTAAAAACAGCTATGGATGATGATGTACTTTGCACCGCTCTTGAATTTTTTTTAAGATATGTTCTTATTTTCTTTATATTTACAGTAGACTTACAATTGAAGTGAGTTTGGGAAAGAAAACATGGGTTTTGGTGTCAATTATTTCTCAATCAAAACACGGAAGAAAATGAGTTTCAAAAGAAGCAGACAAGTATTTTTTAATCAGCGTCAGTAAAACAAAAAATCTTCAGATGAAACCATTCAACTTAATTGATGAGTCAGAGCCGTCAGAGCAGAATTAACACTGCACAGAGAAGTCGTCTATCCATGCTTTGTTAATATTTGGCCGTTTAGACAACCTGACTGGTGTTTTTCAGTGTCCTCAGGAATTTCTCAGTTAGAATTCGTAATTACTATTGTGGTTGTTCAGCTTTCAACAGTTTCTTCTTAAGAAACGTTGGACAGAAGGTGGAAATGTAAGCGTCTTTAAAACCCGAGATACAGAAACAGTAAACCAGCGGGTCCAGCAGGCAGTCGATGTAAGACAGCACCATGAGGCTGTCGTACACCTGAACCACAACGTTCTTGCTCTGCCATTTCTGAAGCCTGGCAACCAGCAGCACCACTCTGGCTATAGTGATTGGCAGGAAGCAGAGGGTGAACACGACAACGACAGATATGACCACCAGCACCGCTCGCCTCAGTTTGGTCTTCTCGCCCACGGTCTTCCTCCGCAGCCGGTTCACGATGCGCACACTGCAGTAGACGAGGATGATGAAGGGGATGAGGATCTGCGCGAAGTAGACAATCTAAAAAGAAAAGTGACTTTGAGTTAGACAGCTCATACAGATACACAGTTCTTCAGGGTTGAAAGCTTTAGTAAGATTGGTCCTCTAACATTGGAGTATAAAATGGCCGTAATTATTAAGGCCTTTTTGTACATTGCACAACTAATATTAACCCATTGACAGACTTTCACACAGAGGCTGCCATACAAGGTGCTACCTGTTCAAGGAAACTAACATTCACACAATGTTGTTGGCCATCAGGAGCAAATAGGGCTGAAGTATGCATTGTTGCCCAAGGTCGGGTCGACATGTTTTCTGTATCCTGAGCATCAGGCACTGCGCACTAAAGCAAATCCAAAGAAAAGTAACTAAGACAGTACCTCTCTAAAGAAATCCGTCACATCGTTTAGAAAAGTTTCATTGTTCCAGCTGTTGCAGCACTCGAAGGTGTTGACCATAGTGGGGATGGTGAGGGGCAGCAAGATAACCCAGATGAGGATGGAGATTTGAGGCGTTTTCTTCAGCACTTTGACAAAGTTCCTCCTCCCGAGATGAACCACATTGAAGTATCGGTCGATGGAGAGCGTGATGAGGAAGGCGATGCTGGCCCCTCGGTTGAGACACAGCAAGAAGTGCATCGTCTTACACACGGCTTTAATTGGGCTGCGTCTCTGGCCATGTCGGTAATGGTAAGCCTTGGCAGGAAGACAGACCATCAGCAAGAAGTCCGCAACCACAATATTGAACGGGAAGATACTTTTGTTCTTCCAGAACTTGTACCTGAAAGAGGAAGCCATTGACAAAACAGTATTATTTTGCGGTTACTGGCTTTATTTGACAGAATCCATGCACAACTCTGACAATTCATGCATTCAACTGAAGCACTCTGCTTAGTGTTTGAAACATGAACACTTGAATAAGAACTATTGTGCAGAAATTGATGCATGTTTTAATGCAGGAATATGAGTTGTGTGTTATTGCCGTTTTTTAAATCTTTTTGCGACGTATAATTGAATGGTGGCAAAATGCACTTGTGCATCCTGCCTGCTGAAGTTCCTGCAGATTATCTTTAATCACAGCACGCTATGCTCTACAACTTTATCAGTTTATCTCAAGATTAGCAGACACGGATCATCTGGTTAAAACGGCATTTAGTGAGAAGTCAATTTAAATAAAGTATGGTTCTTATGTGTAGCAAGTTCACTGTTTGAAGTACAGCCTACCCTAATACTTAATAAGCCTTTATAATAATAACACCCCTTTAACATCGATGTTTTGATTTGTTTAATGTTTAGTTTTGTATTTGCTTGATGTATTCCTTGTTCTTTCTTATCCTTTTAGTGTGTATTTAGAGCACTCTCTGGATGGTGATTTAATGGAATTGATTCATTGACTCAAAGCTGTATGAATCTGTTCCTGCAACCAGACAGGAAATGCAGCGGATCATTTCATAAACCAAGAAACAACTTTAATTGGTCACAGTAGATGAGAAGCTTTTCAAAACGTAAACATTTTAACTTTGGCATAATTAATAGTAGGTCAGAGTCACTTGGATGTGTCTATCTATGCTATCCCCCAAGACTATGCTGTCTGAATCACTCCGAGAGACTAAAGACGGGAAACACCAAACTGAAGAATCACGTAAACAAGTTGAACGTTTTCCCCTCCCCAAAGGCTTTCTCTACTGACTTTTGAAAATAGTAAATAGACATTAAAAGAGAGATTGTGTTACTTCATACCTGAAGATGAAGATGTAGAGGACCGACAGGTTGAGAGGCAGACCCAGCACGTACTCCACAACCATCACCCAGGAGAGGACTTCATATGTGAATCGATGGGGAGCTTTGCAGTGGTCAATCGTTGAATTTACAGACATGTTTTGGTGTGTGAAAAGAGCCCTTGTTGTACTTTCAGTAGTTCCAAGAAGTAGAACTTGGTGTCAAAGTAGTCCTTTTTTCTGCAGTTTCAAAGCAAAGGATAAGGGTTGAAGGTGTTTCCACGCAAGTTAAACCCTTTTTGTTTTGGAGGTGGTAGTAACTGCCTTGGACCCAGAATCTTCTCCTTAGGCCCTTCACTGTGATCCGTCAAATTCAACAGCCCGCTTCTTAGATCCTTACAGTGACCCTGGAGCTCTTTTAAGACTCTAAGCCCTTTATTTGTAATGCGACTACCTCTCAGAAAAGATTTGATGTCAGTTAGAGGTGTGGTTTAAAGAAATGAAACATGTCTCTTAACAAGTTGCATAGCATTTGGATCAATCCGATTAAAGGGATAAGAGAAGGTGACATGCCCTTTACACTTTCTGTTTTACACACCAGATGTTTTTAATGTACGCTTTCATGCATCGTGTCTGCACGTCCACAGGTGTTTTTTGAGAACTGATGTAATCTTCCTGTCCAGTCATGATGAAATGCAAATGAAGTCAAAAACATATGTTATCCCCAAAAGGTCCTTAAGTGACCTATCATCACCATGCATTTAGAGCCAAAACACAACCCACAAAGTACCTGTGTGGACTACGCCTTAGTAATCCAATCATATGCTCTCGCTTATTCTTAACTACTTTTTTCTGAAGGGGCAGTAATTATGACAATAGTTTACAGTCGTTTACTTTATCCGCACTTAGAGCGAGGTGCTGCAATATTTGAATCTCTCAAATGTATCATTTTTAAACTTGTTCTGGTCAGTGGTTTTGGACCCATCTAGTGTTTCCTCACACTCACACAGACTTTTAGAAATGGCATGTGTTCGTTCACATTGTAATCTGCTTCTCATCTCTCTTTATCTCTGTCTCTGTCGTAGGTCTGATGTTTCCAGCCTGCAGTCGATTGGCCGGCTGCCTGGGACAAGCTTTGCGAAGGTACGTACTGTACGAATAGTGAAATGCAACCTTTTATCAGAACAAATTGAAATACATAACGTCAATAAGCTTTCACTGAAAATAGGTTGGAATGAAAGTAAGGTTAACTGAGTTTTACCAATTTCAGTGCACAAAACCACCAGCCTGAAGAAGCCACAGTTTACTTTCATTTTGTTCTTAGAAAATCTGTACAGTAAGATCCAACACATCTCTCTCTACATACAGCATAACACGTTATACAAGCTGATAATAAACCAACATTAAGGCTCAGCTTCCTGTATGGGACTCGATGATTAAGGGTTATGCAATAGTGCAAGGATTTATTGTTCACAATACTGCTCCGTCCCCTTTTTCATTTTGTGCTTCCAGCCACTAGATAGCAGTAGAACTTCAGATTAGTTTTTCAGTTGTGAGGCATGTTCTGTTTCTTTGGTCAAGATGTTAATGTTTGTCTCTTTCTAGGCTCCAGATCATCCATATGAAGAGTTTCAGCGTTGAATTGAGCCGATCCACAAAGGGGACTCGAATGAAAACAGGTCAGTGTTGAACAGAACCAACTCACGGATAGGGCTTCATTAAAAAAGAAAAACAATTCTCTGATTAACTTTTGTATGAATGCCCCACTATTGATATTTAAAATCCTAAGGTTTGCATCTGAGCCTTTTCTGAGTAAACCCATATTTTAAAAGGGATAGTTCTGCTTCACCAAAGTCAAACATTAACACAAATAAACTAACGAAAGGAAAATATTCTAAATAGATGGGCCTTTCTTTTAGGTGGCTAAAATATGTTTTGCATGATCCCCCGTCTACAGGAGCACATTGCTTAGCTTATGTGCAGTAACGGAGCGTCCACACAGCAGCGTGCGTTGACGCTTGGAGGTGGGCGTATCTGAAGCTTGGGGATTTTTTGCGAGCAACACGACCAACAACCAATCACATGAATCTCCCGCCCCCGACATACAAAGCAAAAGCAATGTTAAAACGAAGTAAACTGGATATAAACTCCCCAAACAGGCGAAAACCTACCAGTTTCACCCACTGTCTCTGCCTCCTCCCTCCATGCCTCGCTCCTCCGGTTTGTATCCCGGTAGATGAACAGAGACTGATCATACAGCACCGGGTGATTCTCTACCGCTACAATGAATTTTCCCTCAATTTTTTTGAATATGAGGAAATGACCTGCGTAGTCTCTCCCAGCATACACGCGGTTTGATTGGCTAGCGATTGTACTGGCAGATTTGAATACACGGGATTTCATTGGCTGACGCCTCCGTCGAGGCGTCAAAAGTTGAACATTGCTCAACTTTTGACGCCAGCCACGCTCCACGTCGCTTCCCAAAATGCAGTTCGGCTAAAAGTGACGTCACCCCATTCAAAGTGAATGGGCAGAAGCGTTGGAAGCTTCAACGCACGCTGCTGTGTGGACGGGCCGTAACTCCTCTCTGCTTCTCCAAACTGGGGGCGTGCTGTAAATAATGATCTCAGAATACTCCACTTCAAACAATCCAAACTATCCGTTAAGCCATTACAGTATTAACGAAAAAGGCAGACAGGGCGTGGAGCCAAAGGTTGTGGCAGCAATAACACCTCAGTGTTTCTCGATGTTTAGAGTTTGTTGTCTTTGTTTTCATACTTCTTTTCTCTTGTTGTTGTTGCTGCTGTGATATTTCTGCTCTGCTACCCTCAACTTGATAGCCACCATCATCTCTCCTGTTGCAACACCCACACACACTGCCTCAAGCTAAGGCCACACACCTCCAAATGTTCCCACATTATTAAAAGATAAATGAGGCACTAATGTGTAAGAAAGACAGAGTTAGGAAATGGATAGACAACAATATGTGTTAATTAGCTGTATTTGACCTTTTGTAGATAACTTCATGTTGTTCCAGGGGGTCCGCGGGGTCTTAAAAAGTATTACAAGTTGATAAATCAATTTAGCGAAAATGAAGGCTATTAAAAAGTATTAAACGGCATTTTCCAAGGTATGACATTTTGTAGCTTGTTTCCAATAAGTCTATAAATGGTCCAAAGAGGTTGTGTTCTACAGTCTGCCTGAATGTAATCATGGCGTAGGTGTGTAGTGTGATTCTGTGTAGTTTATTGATGGCATCCCGTTGGGTTTGACGTCATCTGAACAGGACATCGCACGCTCACTGCTTGATAGCGCAAAGGTCCGTTTACGCCGGTTGTTAAACAACATCGTTATGGGGAAATGCAAGTCTGCGTCCAAATGGTTGGAAGATACGGAGGAAGGACAATCAATACTGTATATAGTCAATGTGAGGTAAAGTGTGTCGCCAAGGTAACCGGTTAGAACTCCAAGTGGAGATGAGGTCTTAAAATGTATGGAAAGGGTCTTAAAAAAGGTCTTAAAAGGTTTTACACGTGACTTCAGGATTCCTGCAGACACCCTGTGTTTCCAACAGATTGCATATACACAATTGGTGCAAACTGATGACAAACTGACTGAAAACACCTTTGCACAAGGGGGGGGGAAATGTCCACATTTGCAAAGATGTGGGAGTGTACAGAGGCGATATAGACGTGTTGGTTTTAGTACTTGCGTGGGATAACGTTACACCATTAGACAAAAGAGGGATGTGGTTTCACAGTAAAAGCTCTGCATGTCGTTGCATTGCCAAGACATGAATTCTCTTTATTTACAGCAGCAGTACAAACATCCCCAGTCGGTACCTCAATCTTATACAAATAATTATTTTTTGATAATCAACATCACATGTTTGTATACAGCCTTAATGACAAGCGTTTAAAACAGCCTTCCAGGTCTTTGCAGTCCACGTAGGTTTGACATGATGACCTCATCTCACGAAACAGAAAGGCTCTTCTTACTCTGACTTATAAAAAAGGAAACAAATCGAGTCAATTGAAGAAATGCATTCCAACACTTTGAAGCCGCAATTGTGAAATATTGAAATGTACAGTTCACTGGTGGTAAATCTCAATGAGGACGGGTGAAAGTGGTTTGAGGTAATGATGATGAATGCAGAGATATAGAGTTTCCTGAGTGATACATGAGAGTTTTGCAAACACTGCAAAAGTACCTGCAGAGCATGTTTTACTTGACTGCTGAATACTTTGTAATTATAGGTACAAAGTAGTGGTAGAATGCAATCACAACTGAAATGCCCTATAACCCTAAATCCTGGCTTGAAATATATGCTAATAAATTAAAATGCCTTTATACAATAAACTCAATAATATTATAAAAAATAAATATAAAAAAATGCTTTGCGCTTATAATCAATTTTTTCTTATTGGATTTTACATTCTAACGGAAGCAGCCACATTACATGAGCTATATGAGTACACGTCCCTGATAATCCACATAAAGACGCCCAAACTGTTTGCAGATACTTCCACAGTACACAATTTGCAGCTCTAAAAATGTTATTCAAACGTTTATTTTAACACGTTTCCTCTCCGAAAAAAGATTGCACCTCCAGCAACTTGGTTAGCGATAGTCCACATTTGAGATATCAATTTCTGATTCATTGTACACAGACTAGGGCTGGGGATTGTAAATATATTGTTCTATGAGACTAGATGTCGTCATCATAATATCGTAATATGGTGTTGTTTTTTCTTGGTTTTAAAGGCTGCATTACTGGAAAGTGAATTTGATATCTTTGATTTGCACCAACTAAGTCATCATATCTATATTACTGATTAATGATGGTTATTCATTATAAAACTCTTTATGTCAATATTTTATGAACGCACCAATAGTCCAATGGAAAACAATATCGACACTGTGTGTGTGTGTGTGTGTGTGTGTGTGTGTGTGTGTGTGTGTATGTGGTGCGCACATACCAAGGAACAACACCAGTTCCAGATAAACGATGAGCATGCCCTGCATTCTTGTCGATGTGGTTTGATCATATAAAGATTATGCCCGTACATGATGAGCTCTGCGGAGGAGGCGTCGGTGATGTGTTTCAGCCTTAGAGTCAATTGCATTTATCAGTATCGCATAATCCGATGTTTTCTGAGAAAAAGTGTAATCTGCTAGGGCTGCTGAAAACACCTATGTGGAACAGTGGTTTGGCTCACAGTAACAAACACCCCGAAGGGATATACATGATCATTTCTCTACTATCGGCAAGGACACAGTTCTATTACCAGAGTTCATAGTTATGGTTGTTGTGGTTGTTGTTCCCAATCCAAAGTCAGCTTTCAACAGTTTCCTCTGTAGAAACTGGGGACAGAAGGTGGAAATGTAAGCGTCTTTGAACCCTGATTTACAAAAGCAGTAAACCAGCGGGTCCAGCAGGCAGTCGCTGTAAGACAGCACCATGAGGCTGTCGTACACCTGAACCACAACGTCCTCTTCGACCTGCAAGTCCATCAGCCTGACGGCCAGCAGCACCGCTCTGGCTATAGTGCTTGGCAGGAAGCAGAGGGCGAACACGACAACGACCGATATGACCACCAGCACCGCTCGCCTCAGTTTCGTCTTCTCGCCCACGGTCTTCCTCCGCAGCCGGTTCACGATGCGCACACTGCAGTAGACGAGGATGATGAAGGGGATGATGATCTGCGCGAAGTAGACAATCTGAAAAGAGAAGTGACTTTGAGTATGAAACCCAACACAGAAAAAACCCACTAATGTACCGACAGACAGGCCTCGGGGTCACATTACATGTCACTGAGCTTATATCTGAAACTACATATATTTCCATACTGTAGACATGCCTTCTGGAGCCATTTGGAGTCAGGATTTTGAGGTTTGTGAGTCATATTGAAACAAAATCAACTCTTCATGCTTTTACTTGTCTTGTTTTGTCTGATTCACAGTCCAACACACAGGAACAACAAGGGAAGTGTTCTGTTTTATTCGATTGTCACATACAATATAATTTAGACAGAATTTAAGATGCTATTGCAAGCTCTACATCCTTCTCGGGTTTACAGGGTGTTGAAATAACCTTTGGGCAAAAACCTGTAATGACTGGCATCTTCATAGGAAGTTTGTTTAAATGTGAGAGGAACTGTAAATAACTGAAGTTCTTATTTATTGTTGAAAGCGTTGGTAAGATTAACTCTCTGACGTCAGAGTATATATTGGGCTTTTGTTCATGCTCACATCGTAATCATTATGGCCTTTGTTGTTAGCTACTAAAATATGTTACAGCTATGTCAAACTAAATGGACTGTATTTATATTGCTTTATAGCAGTCTTTGCAACACCTAAATGCACTTTAAATATACAAGTCAGCATTCAGCCATTCACACAGAGGCAGAGGCTGCACACATTCACACACATTCACACACATTCACATCACATTCACACATTCACACACATTCACACACATTCACACACATTCACACACATTCACACACATTCACACACATTCACACACATTCACACACATTCACACACATTAAGAGCAATTTGGGGCCAAGGACAACCATTTCCCTCTTGAGCCATAGCCTCCCCGCAATAAAGCAAATCAAAACACAATAAATCCAAACAATACCTCTCTAAAGGTGTCCGTCACGTCGTGAGAAGGCGTCTCTTCTTTACGGCCGTGGCTGTTGCAGCACTCAAACGTTTTGACCATAGTGGGGATGGTGAGGGGCAGCAAGAGAACCCAGATGAGGATGGAGATTTGAGGCGTTTTCTTCAGCACTTTGACAAAGTTCCTCCTCCCGAGATGAACCACATTGAAGTATCGGTCGATGGAGAGCGTGATGAGGAAGGCGATGCTGGCCCCTCGGTTGAGAAACAGCATGAAGTGCATCGTCTTACACACGGCTTTAATTGGGCTGCGTCTCTGGCCATTTTGGTAATGGTAAACCTTGGCAGGAAGAATGACCATCAGCAAGAAGTCCGCAACCACAATATTGAACAGGAAGATACTTTTGTTCTTCCAGAACTTGTACCTGAAAGAGGAAGCCATTGACAAGCTGTTATTTATTCGGCATCTCAAGTTATACAAATGCACAGAATCTCTGCACGGCTATAGTCTGACAATTCATCCAACTGAAGCACTCTACTTAATGTCAAATATGAAGACTCAAACAGGAATCACTGTGCAAAAAGAGTTCTTTATCAGCATATTAATGCATATTTTAATCTAGGGTTATGATCATTTCGTTATTGCATCCGCTTCTTTTTTTTGCACTGTATACTTTAGTGGTAGAAATGTACAATCGGGCCAAAGAAAACACCAACATCTCTGCATGCTGAAGTTCCCGCTCTCAGAGATTATCTTTACCCACAGCACGCTATGTTCTATAGGTTTATCTCAAGACTAGCAGACAGTGCTCACCTTGTTAAAAAAGCATTTCACGTCAATTCAATTGTTAAATATAGTCTGGTTTTCAAGAAGTGAAATTGCAAGGCATTTCAAAATAGCTTCCAAAAATGGCAATGGATGCCTGACTACCCTAATCAGCCTAAAACCTTTTTAACAACCATTTAACATTCATGTTGTTGTTTTTACATTTAATGTTTTGCTTTTGAATTATTAATAATTAAAATATCTTTACAATTGTTAAGTGTATTGAAAACATGCAGGTTAGTGATCTAGCACGTTAAGTACAATTGGTTCCCTGACCTAAAATAAGCTGTCCTAGACAACTGAAATTAACCACTTCAGGAACACGTTTTTTGCCAAAAAATAAGAACCTAATCTGGATCTAACTACTGGCCTCTATTTTCTTTCTTCTAGTCACTTGACTGAGCATGCATGTATTACATTTCCCTGCAGAGTCATGAATCGACAGTTATTCATTAATTGAATCAATAAACAACTTGACTGAGTCACAGCAGGCTAGACGCTCTTCACAACTACGTGACCAATTTTAACGTTGGTATAATCTCAGCTTTCTTTCAAAGAACTGTCAGTCCTCCAGGTTATAGAAAGTAATACTGGTAGTTATCTGGATTAATCCATCCTATCCTTAAGTGCCATATTGGGGTGTTTTTGGGGGGATATAGTCATCGAAATTACTGGCGAAAGTAGGGGTAATCCCAGCTGACAAATCACGCAGCAAGTTCAAGGCGTTTGGCTAAGTTTAAAACGTCGCCCTCCCTGAAGGCGTTATCGACCTACTTTTTGAGTTATTTCAGAAAATAGTAAATAGGCATTAAAAGAGAGATTTTGTGACTTCATACCTGAAGATGAAGATGTAGAGGACCGACAGGTTGAGAGGCAGACCCAGCACGAACTCTCCAACCATCACCCAGGAGAGGACTTCATATGTGGAATTATTGGGTATTTTGCAGTCGTCAATCGTTGAATTTACAGACATGTTTTGTTCTGGTGCATAAGTCATTGAGAAGCAGTAGAAGAAGTTGATGTCAAAGTAGTCCTATTTAACGTTATGCCAAAGCAATTGGAAGCATAACGGTTACATGTGTTGCCAAGCAGGGTAAATCCTTTTTGTTTTGGAGTTGGTGGTAGCTGCCTCTTACCCGCAATCTTCTTCTCAGGCGCTGATTCCCTGTGATCCGTCAAATTCAACATTCGGCTTGTTATATCCTCAAAGTGATCCTGGAGACTCTGTCTGAGGAAACATGCACCGTACACACAGCATGAAAGAAAGGACTGAATATAGAGAAGAAAAAAACACCCTTCCTCAGTCAGCCTGCAAGCCCTTTTTATGTGAGACTGCCTCCGACCCTTCAGAGAGGAAATATTTGTTGTCAGCTGGAGGTGTGGTTTAAACTTTGAGGCTTTAATGACACAGACTACAACATAAAAAATGCACGTTGTAACCAGTTGCATGGCATTTTGATTAATCAGATCTACTGTAAGTGTTAAGAGAAGGGGGCATACACTGCAGTTTCGGTTTTACTCATGAAGTTGTTACTGGAAACTGGTAAATAAAGGTGTTTTCCAGCCGCATGGGGTGAAATAATTGTGAAATTCCTCAGGTGTCTGTCCATATGAAACCATCATGCCTGCACATGTCTAGTTGTATTCTTGGAGACAGTGACGATATGAGAACAATCAAGGAAAATGACAGGTTCTCTCCGAATACGATCAGTCATGTTATATTGAAGAATACTGTATACTGATGGTACCGCACTACATTCATTTACATTTTAATTATGTTTCGCAGGGTTAAGGTTGAGGACAACAGGAAGCAGCAGGATTATGCTTGTGTATAAAAGTTTGCAAGGAAGATGTATTTTTGTAGGCCGACCTAGAAGGCAAGGCAAGGCAAGTTTATTTATATAGCACTTTTCAACACAAGGCAATTCAAAGTGCTTTACAAAAAACGAAAGACATTAAGAAAATGGCTAGGGCCGGGACTCGATTAAAAAAATTAATCTAATTAATTGGAGGCTTTGTAATTAATTAATCGAAATTAATCGCATTTTTAATCACATATAAATATTTGACCTAAGAACAGTGAGAAGCAATTTTTTTCACATAGATTTTAGTATACCATTAGGCGCATTCACACCGCAGTACTTTTCCCACAAAGGTTCATGAGAACTCTTTGAACCTGGGGGTGGATTAGGCAAATGAAGCCGCTGACGTCACTTCTTCTTCTGCTTTGGGTTTACTGGCAGACCGCAAACGGCGTATACTGCCCATGGGATACTGCCGCCCAAAGTCCCCGGCCGGAAGTCCCCGGAGTTGGGGACTGGCTTCAGTAGAAGCTGCTGGGACTCCCAGCAGCTTCTACTGAAGCCTTCCGAGTAAATCGCCAGAACGCCGACACCTCCTCATCTCCACCGCTCCCATGTTTTATTTTGTGTTGCCATAAGTTAGTCTCTCTGCGTTTCTGCGCTGGGCTAATGCTAATAATGGTAATGCGAGGATAATAAAATGGCGGCTTCACAAAACTTTTTGGGAGTTTTACGGGGCGTGGTTTGCAATCCGCCCAGCCAATCAGAAATATAGCTCTTTTCTCACAAGAGAGCCGTACGAAAGTCCCTGCTCTCTAGCAGCTCTCTGCTCTCTAGCAGGGACTTTCGTGGGGGTAAAAAGGTTCTCATGAACTAATTTTAGTACCAGCTCTTTTTGGTGTGAACGCGATAAAAGAGGCTAACGTCCACGCTAGCTTCCACGCTAGCTGCTATATGTTTTGCATTGAGGTGATACTTGAGGCTTGATGTGCTGCGGTGATATGCGAATTCCTTTTTGCATAATTTGCACACAACCGTGCTCTTATCGACGCTTCCATCCGTCCGTTTTTTAAAACAACATTTCCCACTGTTGTTCACTGTGGTTTGTTGTTGTCTGAAGTCATGAACATTAGTTGGTGCTCCAGTATAATCGGTACGCCTGAAACTCATCCAGTGAGAAACGTTCCGCGGTGCAAAAATAAGTGCGATTAAAATGCGTTAATTTTTTTAACGCGTTAATTTTTGTGTAATTAATTAATCTTAATTAACGCGTTAAAGTCCCGGCCCTAAAAATGGCATTTAAAATCAGTCATTAAAAAGAAAAGCTAATAAAATAAACATTAAAAGAAAAAATACATGGATAAAAGTTACAGTGCAGTTTAAGATATGAATAGTTCAATTAAAAGCAGCGACAAAAAGAAAAGTCTTTAGTCTGGATTTAAAAGTAGTCAGAGTTGCAGCGGACCTACAGGTTTCTGGGAGTTTGTTCCAGATATTTGGAGCATAATAACTGAACGCTGCTTCTCCGTGTTTAGTTCTGACTCTGGGGACAGAAAGCTGACCAGTCCCTGAAGACCTGAGAGATCTGGATGGTTCATCATTTAGCAGGAGGTCAGAAATGTATTTTGGGCCTAAACCATTCAGTGCTTTATAAACCAGCAGCAGTATTTTGAAATCTATTCTTTGACACACAGGAAGCCAGTGTAAAGACTTCAGAACAGGAGTGATGTGATCCACTTTCTTAGTGTTAGTGAGGACTCGAGCAGCAGCGTTCTGAATTAGCTGCAGAAGTTAATATTTTCCAAAAAGAGCCCATGACATTTTCCCTTTGGATTGTTGCAGAGAATTGCAAATAGAAATGTGTAATACCAAAACGTTTTGTTAAGTCAGATATATACGGCAGAATCTCTTAAACTTGTGTGCCCACCGAACATATTTTAATAATCTAACCAAAAAAACATCGACCTCAAAACAATGGAATCAAAAACAGCAACTAAATTCAAGGATCTAGGACTCATTCGTGCATCGTTCACTATTCATTTCCAGCTTTGTAGGGAATACAAATGCAGTTCATTCTGGTGAAAGTTGAAGTTATATGCCAACAAAAATGTCGCAATACAAACGGCAATGAGCTTCTCAAATATTTCTGGCACAGTATGGAAGTATTACAAGTGCTTCTCTGGGCTTTCAGCCAGTGTCGTTTAAACAGAATCAGAATACCTTTATTAGTCCTACAGTTATTTCTCATTTAAAATGTGTACCTACTGCTCTGGGGAATAGCCTTGCTCTTTCAACACCCACCAGCTCAATGGAAGTATTTATCAACAAAATTGCCAATGATAGAATGAAGTCATGATCAAGTTCACATTTTCTCAATGGTGGTACAATGTAAGAACTACACAGGGATGTTTCAACCTTCTTAGGTATCCAATCAAATGAATCGCTGTTACGACCCGGCTCAAAAGGCCACAACAAAGAGGAGACACACCATGTCGACGGTGAACAAAAGATGTTTATTTAGGACAAATAAATAAAGTAAAAACCAGTAAAGTATGAGGTGTGGATGTCAGTGGTATCAGTAATGTACATGCAGGGTGAGGATTGTATGGACATGTATGTGTGTGAGAGTGTTGAAGTGCACAAAGTAAAACAACTGAAGAAACTCATAATCTACTCAACAAAACCGGGGTGCCTGCAGAGAGGAGCAGAGAGGAGCAGAGAGGAGCAGAGAGGTGCAGAGAGGAGCAGAGAGGAGCGGAGAGGAGCAGAGAGGAGCAGAGAGGAGCAGAGAGGAGCAGAGAGGTGCGATAGGGGTGCAGAGAGGAGCAGAGAGGTGCATAGAGGTGCAGAGAGGAGCAGAGAGGAGCAGAGAGGTGCATATAGGTGCAGAGAGGAGCAGAGATGAGCAGGAGGTTCAAGAGGTGCAGAGAGGGGGGGAGCAGAGAGGAGCAGAGAGGTGCATAGAGGTGCAGAGAGGAGCAGAGAGGTGCATAGAGGTGCATAGAGGTGCAGAGAGGAGCAGAGAGGTGCAGAGAGGAGCAGAGAGGAGCAGAGAGGTGCATAGAGGTGCAGAGAGGAGCAGAGAGGTGCAGAGAGGAGCAGAGAGGTGCAGAGAGGTGCAGAGAGGAGCAGAGAGGAGCAGAGAGGTGCAGAGAGGAGCAGAGAGGAGCAGAGAGGAGCAGAGAGGAGCAGAGAGGAGCAGAGAGGAGTAGAGAGGAGCAGAGAGGAGCAGAGAGGAGCAGAGAGGAGCAGAGAGGAGCAGAGAGGAGCAGAGAGGAGCAGAGAGGAGCAGAGAGGGTGCAGAGAGGTGCAGAGAGGAGCAGAGAGGAGCAGAGAGGTGCAGAGAGGTGCAGAGAGGAGCAGAGAGGTGCAGAGAGGAGCAGAGAGGTGCAGAGAGGAGCAGAGAGGTGCAGAGAGGTGCAGAGAGGAGCAGAGAGGAGCAGAGAGGTGCAGAGAGGAGCAGAGAGGTGCAGAGAGGAGCAGAGAGGTGCAGAGAGGAGCAGAGAGGTGCAGAGAGGAGCAGAGAGGTGCAGAGAGGAGCAGAGAGGAGCAGAGAGGTGCAGAGAGGTGCAGAGAGGTGCAGAGAGGAGCAGAGAGGAGCAGAGAGGAGCAGAGAGGTGCAGAGAGGAGCAGAGAGGAGCAGAGAGGTGCAGAGAGGAGCAGAGAGGAGCAGAGAGGAGCAGAGAGGTGCAGAGAGGCTTTAAATAGCTGCAGGGCACCAGACCCAAGTGCCCTGAGTCACTGCAATCAATGCAATCACTGGAGCCAATGCAGGACAGCCACCTCCTCTGGTTCAGAGGAGGTGGCTGTCAAACCTGTCAAACCTGTCAAACCTGTCAAACCTGTCAAACGGTAACGCAGGTGTCCTAAGGCGAGCTCAGGGAGGACAGAAACCTCCCGTGGAGCAGAAGGGCAATCACAGGGGCATCACAATCACAAAGAGATTTACAAACATGATGTCACTCATACTGTATATCACATACTGTATATCACATATCACTGATTTCCATACCCACCAATTCAGTGGAAGAATTCATCACAAAAATGAAAAATGGTAGAATGATGTTCTGATCAATCACACCTCTTCTTAACATGGTAGATTTGGGTATAGCGAATAACTACTAGTACCTATACAAACACTACTCAAGGGATGTTTCACACCTACAGTATAGGTGTTATAGCTTTCTTCAGATTGATGTAAATATCCTTTTACACCTTCGTCAAGTCAATTTCATTCATACACCCCAATATAACAAATCCCAAAGGGTTGAACAATCTGTACAGCACACTACACTTTATTTTTGACCCATGCTAAAACAATAAATAAAGTAACCCTTCAACTGGGAAAAGGTCACTTTAAAAAGAGATTCTACCGAGTGCTTTGGCAGACAAAGGATATACCAAGAGAAGGATAAACATAAGGCTAACAAAAGCCAGATAACATGAATTATCATTTTATACAAATAATAAAAATAATCATAAAAGGTCTAAAGAACTTTTGAACATCTACATTATAGAACTACAAAGCTC